CATTCCCTCCTTTCTTTCTTCTTCCTTTCTTTCTCCCTGACTTCGTCTGGTATCTGGGCAACCAGACTTGACAGACCTACTGACCTACGATACTTTAACAAAGAGCGAAGGTCCCACGGACCGCTCTGACAGACAATGACGAATAGAGAGGTATTGTAATGTTTGGTGACAACCGCTGTCAAGTACTGCCGAGGGTAAACTCGAAAAAACGGCTGACAGGTGCTGTCATACAATTTTCCATTTAGAAACCATTTGTAATTCAACGCGCGCGTTTATGATTGGCAGAAATGAAAACGAGGGCAATAGTCTAGTTTCGGTTGCACATAAGAGGCTTACTACTGAACTGGTTCAAATCATAATTTGAAAATCGATATCCAATGATAAGAATACAAAAAGAACAGAATCTAAAACATTTCCTGTATCTTTGGGTGTTCCACAGGGGTCGGTACTGGGACAATTTATTTTATTGTATAATATTCTTTTTTGCGAATGATCTCCCCCAACAATACATCTGTAATCTGTGATTAAACTGAAAATAATCAGCGTTATGTCTGAGATGGAGTCTTTGGTGTAAAAAAAAGTCAACTAATATTACAACATTTATAATTTTTTTTAAAAGCAACTACTACATCATATTTTTAATAACATTGCGATATATTCTCAGTCCAGTGGAAATCTATTTCGTAATTTTTTCGAAGCTGTAGCAGGATCTGTCCTTTGTCGAAGAGCTTGAAGTCTCAGAAGTCAATCCTCAACTGCGTTTGTTGCTTACCGTCTTCCGTGTCCAGGTCTTCTTGAGTGAAAAAAGAGACACAGTTTCGCTAAATCTTTACATCGCATCCAATGCAGTACTGGGTGGAACGGCAAGCTTTTGTGTGATTACCGAATAGGACGACCATCACCTTGTAAAGCTACAGCTGCGCTAGTTGTACCAGTGTCATTTTTGTTGGTTATTGCTTGACAGCAGTCCTTTTGACATGCCATAAAAAATCTAACAGACACAGCCTACTTAAAAGAATTTTATGATCGGCAAAGCCTGCTTGAAACAATTTCTTGTTTATTGCTATGTTTTGCATGATTTTCTTCAAACCAGCATATATACTACTTCAGTAATTGAGATATTGTCATAAATCAAATAAAGAAATAGTTGAGGCTCAAAATTCTCATACGGAGACACATTATTCAGTAATCCAGTGTCTCCACAGGGTGTTCAGAAGTTTAGGGCAAAACGCACCTTTTAGTTAGGCCCTGTATTACCACAAATATTTTCATGTTTTGCAAAATGGTCAGTCAATAATGATTACAATGAAATTACCTACAAATTAACAGAAAATTAACGAAATTGTAAGTAAAATTTAATTTGAACAAAATTTTGTTTGTCCGGTTAATTTTGCGAGGCAGTGTATTTATTATATTTAATCTATTTCGGTATTATTACACTTCCTCTTCCAGTAGGAATGGGAAGTAAAAAGAACCACTAAGCTGTACTCACTGTCAACCTAAGGGTAGGCTCAATCTCCCCTAATATGTTGACTTATTTAGAAAAACATCTACTTTATAGAAAAGTGATTTATTGTGTACTATAAATTACAAAAAAAATAACCTCATTCAGTTCATTTGACAGTTGCTTGTTGCTGTTGTACTTTTATACCCGCACGTGAGGGAAAGCATATCCCTAACCTGAAAAGAACGTATATACTTACTGAATTTACAGTCCTGTTCAGAAAGGCTCTCCTCGTGCTTATTTTTTAATGCGGAAATTCGGGGTGATGAAATGGTTACTGAATCTTAGCGTTAAAATGGCAGTTGAAAATTTTAAGATGGCGTTTAGGCGCCATTTTGGAGCATTTTGGAAGTGGGATATGGAGTCGTGTGATAGAGCTAGCGCTACTTATGAGTACTTTATGATCCTAAAATATGAAATCATTGTCTTTGAAGAACTGACGGAGTATCAAAACAGAGCGTTGTTCTACATTGAGTCGCTTAGCCAATGATCAAGACATTTTAACAGTAATTAGGCTCTCTTGGAAGGCTCTATTCGAATATGTAATCGAATATTCTACTTAAAGAAATTGTTTGTATGTGCCATGTTTTATTGCACAAGCAGATACACTCTTCCAAAATAAAAATAGTGATATGCTCTACATTTCTGATGATTAGTAGTAGAGTTATAAGCGACTCAATGCACAAAAACCCCCAACTTCAACAACCTGCCAGTTCGCCAATTTCAAAGACCGTGATTTTAAATCCCAGCGTTATATAGCTCTTATAAGGGCTTGAAAATAAAGTATCATAATATATTTAGAAAAATGAGTGACAGTAAAATATGCATTTCAGAAATTGTTGCCGCCAGCTTGAAATATTCAACTGCTATTTTTGTATAAAAATATAGTGTTGATGCATCAATACTATTGTTAAGAATTCCAGCTTGCCAACATGTTCAAAAAATAAGTAAGGAAAGCTTTCTAAAAAGCACTGTATATTTTATTAATTTTTTTCCTCTGCTTATCTGTTCCAAACAAGCAGGCTCTTTGAAATATTCTACAAAACTTTCCCCATTGTTGGGTTGTTGAATCTCAGAAGGTAATGCACACATTTGAAAATGTATGATTTAGTAACATCATATGAATAAAATAAGATAATAGCCTTTACCTTTCGCATATAGCCGGATTCTTTGCATAGTGCTTGGAAGCATGGATACTCCCTTGTACTCCCTCAAGCACCTGTACATTTTGGACCATCTAAATGAATTTTTGCTCGACTAATTCTGACATTTCGACCTTGCCCATAGTTTTTATTCCAGTTAAATAGCCGAAACTGCCGCAAAAATTATAACATAGCCACAAAGTTATTTCCGCTGGCGTAATGGTGCAATAAAGGCTTGCGAATATTGTTGTATGAATTTGGTTTACCGGAAACCAGCCGTTTTTTGTAAAACAGCCAAAAACCCAAAAAACCTCTTTTTCGCTGAGAGATTTTTTTACACGCGAATTTTTCCAAGTTTCGGGCCATCAAAAAAGTTATTTGCAAATTTTTTGCTAAAATGACGTAGGTGATCTATTGCTACATGGTGGGGTTATTGTTATTCAGTAATAGTCCACTTGAATTTCGAACCCTGAGGTCGCTTGTCAGTTTGGCGTTCACCGATTTTTCTGAATGAACTAATTTTTGGAGTCAATGCGATTTGGTACGTGGAGTAATTTCTCTTCAGTTGCTTGTCGATTGACAGGACAAGTGAGGTAAGTGTGTGTACATTTTAGAAGTTAAATATTCATTCCGTATATTTCATTGGAGGCAAGAAATTATATTCAAGCCATTTATCGGAAGATGCATCAATTTTGTGTATTTTCAATTTTGATAGGATGATTATTTTTTTATTATCATGTTTCTGTTCAATTAACTCAACTCTGAAATGTACACATACATACTTATAGTCCTTCCATTATAAATATTTGGAAACGCAAAAAATCCCTGAGCTGCACAAAAAAAGGTGTGAAGTCCTGTGCAGATAAGTTGCACACAGTAGAGCATACTACTGCATTGAGTCTTGGACTTTACCAATGAGCATTATTATTGGTTGCCACAGCGAGTGTGCAGAGAAGACATTGTCAAATGCCCATCACCATCGGCCATTATCTATTCTTTACATATTTGCGTTGACGTATGTTACGTTACGTTCACACCTTTTTTGCAGTTCTGGGTTTTTTGTCGTCGTTCAAATTCTCAATGAAAATACTATACCTCACTTATCCAGTCAATCGATAAGCGGCTGAAGAGAAATTGCTGCATCTTGTACTCTACTTAAACGCATAAATTTCAAAAATTCATTAATGTGCATACGTCGGTGAACGCCACAACTACAAACTAGCTTAGTATTCGAAATGGCCTATCACTGAGAGTGGGACACTGAGGACGTCGAAATACTAAAAGAGGATCGTCCGCGTCAACGGTGCGGCGGCTGGTGATTCGAGTATGTGTACGCGCACCCTTGTCCCCGCAAGCCCCTCACCCACAAACTATCGGCAAGCTGTAGCGCGAAAGCTAAGCAATTTAGGAAAAAAATTGCAGAGACCTTTTTTGATGACAAAAAATAAAAAAAAAATACGTGTAAGAAAATCCCAGATATCCCGTCAGCCGTTTCAGTGAAAATGAGTTTTTTTTTGGTTTTTCGCTGTTTTACAGAAAACTGCTGATTTCCGAAAGACTGCAATATTTGCAAGACTTTATTACACCATTACGCCAGCGGCGATAATTTTGTGGCTATGTTAAGTTTTGCATATAGAAACATAGTAGGCCACGCGGACCTAACGTCAGCTCTGAATCTTAACCCCGCTCTTTAGTAAACTTAAATTCAAAGTTTCACAACAATACGTGCAGTGTTCTCACTACAGTGAATTTTAAAGTGTCACCATGTCATTAGAAAAATGGAACTCAACCGAGAACATTTTCGCGCCATAACTCATTTCAGAGACAATTATCGCAACTAGAATGCCTTGCTGAGTTACTATCTGTTTTCGGAAACGAAGCGCCACATCAGTCGACAATTTCCCTTTGGTATGGAGAATTCAAACGTGGACGGATGAGTCTTGGCGACGATCCCAGGGTGGGTGCACCAAAAACGGCAGTCACCCAGGAAAACGTCGATGCTGTGCGCAAACTCATCATTGAAATACACATGTGACATATCGCGAGATTGAAGCGTCCTTGAAGATCTCAAAGACCTCAATTCAAAAAATTTTACATGAAGAATTAGGAGTAAGAAAATGAGTTTCTCGTTGGATACCCCACCTGCTCACTGAAGAGCAGAAAGCAGCAAGGGTTAATTGGTGTCAAAAGCGATTGACCGTTTCAATTCCGGAAACTCAAAAAATGTGTACAGCATTGTTAGTGGTGATCAATCGTGGATTTACTGTTATGAACCAGAACATAAACGACAGTGGCTGTTTGGGTGTTCCAAGGTGAATAAAAGCCAACAAAAGTCATCCGTTCTCGAAAAAGATGGTCGCGACATTTGTGTCAAAATCGGGTCATAGTGCAACAATTCCTCTTAATGAGAAAAGAACTGTTACTGCGGATTGGTATACCACCATTTGTTTGCCAAAAGTTATCACCAAGCTTCGAAATATCAACCCCGAAAGAAGAATCATCCTCCACCAAGACACTGCAAGCTCGCACACAGCCAAAAAAACAAGGCAGTATTTAATGGAAGAAAACGTGGAATTATCGGACCATCCTCCATATAGTCCCGATCTAAGTCCTAACGATTTCTTTACTTTCCCAAAAATTCAAAACAGACTGCGTGGTCATAGGTTCCAGTCACCAGAAGAAGCAGTTGACGCATTCAAAAATGCCGTTTTGGATCTGCCAGCAAACAAGTCGAATAAGTGCTTCGAAAATTGGTTAGAGCGCATGCAGATGTGTATTAATCTTCGTCTAGAATACTTCGAAAAACAATAAAGTCATTTAAAACTACCTACCGTGTTGTTTTATTTCCATATGCAAAACTTACTTTTGCGGCAGTTTCGGGTAGCTTTGGACTATTTGTGCAGTTGGTCAGAAAAAGTTCAACACTATTTGATATTCCATAAGGCATTTTGAAATGACTTTTTTTGCGAGTTGATGTAGTTAACCGATGAAGCTACTTACATGGTGATGCTAATGATGCACACACGCCTATTTGTTCGGACTTCAAGCGTGTTGAATATGAAGGTAGCTGCCCCTAGCGGATAGGTTCGTATTTCGAAGTTAGCTTTTGTCGTTTAGATCGAAAACGTACTAATTGCTTAATTACAAAAAGTAAATTATATTTATTGACTAGGTGTACTATAACTGGTTATAGCAAGCGTGATGAGTGGCAGTAGTGGAAAGTTGCTGATATGACGAAGTTTTAAAATACGAATATGATTTTTGCAATTATTATATAAAACTGCGTAAGAGCGGTACTAAGAAAATCGCGCGTAAAAGTATTTAATCCATTGTTTTATATCGGTGCCAAGTAAATTTCTTTCTATAGCTTTACAGAGTTTGTACTAAACGAATAATTAGATACTTGGTTAAAAAGTGCAATATGATTAATTTTTGGGCCCAGTCCAAAATTTGTGCAACCTGAAATTGCAGCAGATTCGAACAGATAGAAAATACACTATTTCTGCCAAGGACAGAAGGGAGAATCCAGTAAATAATCCAAGAAGGCCCCCAAAGTTAGCCAAGAAATCAATTGGTCCATATAATTCGTTTCTTTCCAGTGCCAGAAAGAAGTCTTCTTTGAAAAATATTGACAATCTGGCATATAGATACCTGAAATGAATTGGTTATTGTTAGCAGTGAACAATTTCAAGCAAATGTTCACATGAAATTTACGATCAACTTATTTATTTGAACAACTATGGTGAATTTGCTGATAGTTTTGCCAGTGAAATGTTAAAGTTTAAATACTTGATAAAAAACAGAATGTTCGTCACTCCCTTGTGAGCTACGTTGCATTTCTCTGTTTTATGATTCTTCTTACTGAATTGAACATTTGCATATACATGCTCATTTAAAAACTTCCCACCACGGATTTAACGAGAACCACTGATTCAAAGAAAAAATACATGTCAAAAGATTTGTCAGTAGAGACAACTTTTTAACCAAAAACTACTTCACATTTTCACCCTCGGCTCCCTAGGGTTATTCCCTTGAAGACCTTAAATGGCAAGGGGTATCGAGCAATAGCTTATTTGAAAGGTCCTTCGAAGTCCTTTATTTTGAGGTTTAATTGTTTTCAAATTTTCCAAATGTACAATTCGTTTATAATTTATTTTATTATTTAATATAAACAGCAATTCGGAAGATTAGATGTGGCAACAACCTGATAACATCCCGATTTTTTTTCCGCGTTCTTTTTATCAACACATATATCCTGGGCGAACTGAATTTATTGTTATACTAGTTTAGTTATTTGTTGCGAAGATTAAGAAAGAATTTAATTTGCTGTCCGTTACCTTTGCGACAATCTTGTGATAGTAAAGATTAATTTATCGAATCAGATTTTGCTTCCAAAATGGTTTAAACACTAGGCGAAAGAGTGGAAATGATTATAATTTATGGTGCCCAAAATCAATGTGCTTGGCAAACTGCCGTCACGTTTAACTCTAGACATCCGGGGAAGATAACTTCGCATACGTATGTTTTGGACCTTGTTACTAAAACTTACTCAAACTCGATCTGTTGCAACTAAAAAACGTGATCATCGGAGAGTTTTAGATGAAACCACTCAAGGTGAAGTTTTGGGTCATTTTGGAATAAATGCTAATACTTCATTATGCAAAATTGTTGCTGCGACTGATATTTTATTGGGCTCTGTACAGACAGTTACTAAACTCCATAAGTTTCATCCATTCAAAATAAAAATATTGCAAGAGCTCCCCGAAGATGATTTCGAAAGGCGAGTTGAGCTTTGTGAACAAATGACTGCATGCGATTTATGATAATACCATTCATGTAAAGAATATCTGCTTCAGTAATGAATGCACATTTTATCTAAATAGATTTGTTAATAAGCATAGCTGCAGGTATTGGAGCAGTGAAAACCCTAATGCTTTTTTAAAAGGTCATACCCAGTTCCCCCAAAAATAAAAATTTGAATTGAGACATATATTTGGATATATTGGAAAATACCATCAATCCGATTATCACTGAAATCATTGAAAAACAAATCAAGGAGGATGGGAACCTTATACCTGATGAGGCACTATGTACTTCCGATTCGGCAGTGGCCAGACGACGAGTTTCCAGATAAATGGATAGGGCGAAGAGGACCTGCATAACGGCCTGCTAGATCTCCTGATTCAAGGCCATTAGACTCTTTTATATGGGGTCATTTGGAATCTATTGTATTTGCTCCCAACCTGAACGTTTCGATGAAGTTCATCAACGCATCATCGAAAGCTGTCATGATATCCCATACCATGTTTTTGAAAACGTCTCTAATTTTCTTTAAAACTAATTGTCCGATTTTAAAAAAACCAAACGTCATAAAAAGGACTCTCAAGCAAGCTATTACTAGATGCCCGTTGTCATATAAATTTTTCAAAGGGATGACCCTGGGGGCAGAGGGTGAAAGGATGTGAAAGGGTTTTTGGTTAAAAAATAGTCCCCCTTGGCAAATCTTTTGACGTGTCTCGGAGTTTTTTCTTTTAATCAGTGGTTTTCGATTAATCCGTGGTGGGAAGTTTTCAAATGAACACCCTGTATGTAAATCATCAATAACAATGTTAACAAATGAGTACGTTCAACTAAACTGTGAATGTCTGTTTTGGAGATTTTCTCTGTTTGATGTCCCTAATCTGTTAAACAAATTAATAAATAAACATACCCTTGAATTAAGCAAACAGCCTCACTACACACTCTTTTTGAAAAAAAAAAAACTTTTGGAAGTGTATATCACATATAAAAAACACCATAGATTTCCTCAATAAATGTATGTTTTATGTTTCATTACATACTATCTGCATAAAAAAATATGAAGCAGTATAAATTTCCGTATTTCGGGAGTAGGGACATAACAAAGGTTATGTGAAGCTAATTCCGTGAGATTTTAAAATAAAAATAGTGTATGCCCATAATTCCAGGCATACTGGCTGAGCTGCACTTCATAATTTATCTCCACACAAGATCGTCTGCAGTCACAGAAAGACGTGTTGTTTTGATTAGCTGCGTTATGCTGGGTTTCGTGAAGATTTTTGTAAAACTTATCAGGATTTTATCATTACCTTATGCATCTTTCAAGGTATATGGTTGTATGTTCGTGGTGTGCACAAAAATTAGCCATCGAAGTTGCACATACCTCCTTCATCTTCTGGCTTCCCAAAATACTTAACTGCAACGTCGCATTAGCGCCTAAGGTGGTTAAGCAAGAAGTGGCGAAATGATATGGACTATAGAAGAGTAGCGTCACTCCGTCATTAAAACAGTCTTTGGCGAAGTGTCTGAAATTACATTGTGGTATACCAAATCTTACATGCAGTTAAACTGTGATGTCTGTGATATAGCAGCTAGTCAGGAGGAAGGTAAACATCCAGGAATGAAGGTCACCTGAAGGTAGTTGACTACAGAACACTGGATTGTTTTACGTGTTGCGAAACTAGCAGGAAGTAGGGTGCTAATATCTCGATGATCCGCTAATGATGTAAAGGAGACTATTGTTATTCTAACATATCTGGAATTTGAGACATCGTCGCTTAAGTCGTACCACCACTAAACACAAAGAATAACTTATGTATTTGTTTAAAAAAGCCACCGTGCTTGCCGGAATGTCATCAGTAGGCACTATTAGCTTATGAGGTTTCATTTGCGACTAGACAAACATGGAGGATTATAAGATCATTCGATAGCGACTCCAAAGGCCCACCGCTCTTTGATGCTCTCCTAAAAAGTTGTTAGTTTTAAGTGACATCGTGCTGGAACTCTTTTTATTGAACAACTAAACTTTTGCGATTCATGACTGGGTAGTACCAAAAAGAAGAAAATACGATACAAATTTGTTATTTAGTTCTGCATTCTACGTCAATGATTATTGCCAAACATTTCCAAAGTAGATCGTTCAAGTATATTGCGAGAAAATAGATGTGCTGTTCCATTTCTTTATTTAATTTTATACTCTTCAGTCTACATTATTCATGTTGTGTGATTGTTTTCATCTAAACTGAAAAAGCTTTTAGGATGTAAGCACACAGTTTAGAAAATCTGCTTTCTTTTCTGGTTACTAAGTTTAGCGCTCTTACACTCATTTTCAAACTTGTGACCGAACAATAATCCATTCCAATCTCTGTTAGAATCAGTATAGTAGATACTGATATTGCACAATGTCAAGGAAACCAGAACGACATGGGTTATCGCCAATGGGTGGAACGCTAAAGCACTCTATTTTTCAAGCCTATTTTCCAGAAAATGCTATTTATCATAAATATATCGTCTAGACAGAAAAAATAATAATATATATTACCCTGCATAAACTCAATTACTCTATGACAATCCAAACTAGGCATTACTCTGTTGAAATCAATAAAATTAAAAGTAGGGAACCCATTCAGGTGAACCATCCGCCTGTTACCTTTCTTCCTTTTATTTGGATATCTTGGTCGCCTCCAGGCAGCAGTAAACAAAAAAAACCTATTGTATACCGGCATGTGTGTGGGTGTATCTATCCAGTTGAAGGGTGGATCTAAAGCTGGACATACACGCTAATAATATACTTAGCAGCCTAGTTAACTAACTATTATGAATATTCAGATTCATGATTCCGCCACAATATGATCTGTATGTTTGGTGAACAAGTCATAATCAACTGTTTCTACCCACACTCCGCCGATACACGACGCGAATTCGTACCTAAAAGCTTCATTCCATCCAGGGCCTTTGATTTCTTACCTTTCATCATTCACTCATACGCAATTGGTCTATAAAATGCTCAAGTTGATGATTCCTTTATTACCAAC